GGGCCCGCACCTCGCGCCCATAGGCGTGCGGGGGCGGGGCCCCGCGCGGCCCCGCCCTCCCGGCCCTTCGCCCCGCCGCCGCTTGTTTAGCGTCGCCGCGCGCGCCGATGCTCCAGGACTTGGCAACGCTGGCGGGCTGGGAAGCGGCTGGCGCTGGGCTCCCTGAGCCGTCGACCTGGGCTCGGGATCTATCGTTTGTCAGGGTGGGAAGGGGAATGAGGGATTTATATCCGTGGTCTTTCAACCTGGGAATAACCCGGGGAGCTTAAAAGATCCCGATGCCCAGGCCGCATCCCAGATCAATTGACTCAGAACCTCTGGGGTGATAGCCAGGCATCCACAGTTTTTAAAGCTCCCCACGTGGTTCCAAAGAGCAGCCAAGTTTGAGATGACTGGTTAAGATCGAATTGAAGTAAATACGCTTCTAAATATTTCTCCTGGACCCAGCCAAGCTTAGCGCCCTCTTTCTTGCCCTGTTCCTACTACCACCAAAAACTAGCCACTTCTAAGAAGTCCGGATGGGAGGCAAAAATGGAGTGGACAGGAGAGAGGAGGGCCGAGCAGCTGTGGACTGTTTCCCGCGCTGGCAGGGGTGATAATGGAATAGACTTTCGCCTGAAATGGAAAGAGGGCAGGAGAGGGACACTCGCATTCAATGGGATTTTAGGAATATTTATCCTAGGTGAATATAGGTGACTGATCGGGTCGTGTTACAAGATCTGCACGGTAATTAAAATAATTTTATGAAGTATCCCCTCAGGGGGTTTCGGCTTTCAGTGCTGTCGCAGCCGCTGCAGCGCCTCCCTCTGCCAGTTTAACCCCGCGGTGCTCATGGTCCCCAGAGGGCTGCGCGCGCCCCCCATGTCTGGGGTGGAACTCCCTTCCCGCATGGGGCGGTTGGGGCGCTGGCGGCCAGCCGAGGCTCGGCCCGAAGAGCTTCGCGCGGCCAGATTCCAGGACAGCTCGATCTGGGGAATGGTCTGCAAGAACGAATGGTCACAAATTTTTGAAAAACCTCCTTCCAGTGAGTCATAAAGGCCTTTGCGGCCCAAAGCTGAGTCCCTGGGGTGGGCTGGGGTGGAGTCTCGGTCGGGTTTACTGCCATGGAAACACCCAAGAGGGAGGTATAAGAGAGGAGGTGCCTGAAACCTAGGAGATCAGGAGCAGTGCAGAAGGATGCAGAGTGCCCGCCCGCCCGGGCGGGGTGTCTCTGGCAAGTGCCTTTCCACCTTGAGCTGCAGGTTCCTCATAAAAGGCCATATGATCTAGTGACCTCTACATTTCGCCTCACTCTAAAAGTATGGCACAAGGGTGAGGTAACATTCTAAGTGACATGAGGTTGCAGTGTTTCCGATTTCAGCCAAATTCCAGAAACATTAAACTTTTAGTTCATGCCATATGCATTTATTGAGCACCACTGTATGTCAGGGACTATACAGGGACTAGTGGGAGGGGCAGGGGGAGATGAATAAGACATAATTCTAGCCCTCAAGAGTTCATAGTTTAGGGTTTGGCATATAACCAAACATTATAATATAATCTTAAAAGAACAAAAATGGATAAATGGAACTGACATGAAAATATACTAGGGGAGAGATTCTAATGAAGGTATCTGAGCTAATAGTCTTTCATTAACTGTCTGAATCCCTCAATTCTTTATACTGTTCATAAAAGAAGAGATCCCATCTCTACTATCCTTTTGGAGAGAGAGGCTATTTCCCCATCTTGATTCTCCCACATCTCTGTAAGCCAGTAAACTGGGAAGGTTGGGAGCATTCACATTCTCTCAGCCTGGTTAGAAGTAGATTGCAGGCTGGATGCAGTGGCTCACACCTGTAATTCCAGCACTTTGGGAGGCTGAGGCAGGAAGATTGCTTGAGCCCAGGAGTTCGAGACCAGTCTGGGCAATATAGTGAGACCTTGTCTCTACAAAATATCAGAAAATTAGCTAGACATGGTGGCACACACCTGTAGTCCCAGCATCTTGGGAGGCTGAGGCAGGAGGTTGGAGGATCACTTGAGCCCAGGAGTTTGAGGCTGCAGCAAGTAGTGATTCTGCCACTGCCTTCCAGCATGAGTAACAGACTGAGACCTTGATTCGAAAGGAAGGAAAAGAAAAGAAATAGATTGCAGATTCCAGCTGCACAAAGAGATGTATAACCTAGGACTTCGGTAACAGTCCACTAACATTACTCAGCACACCCAAAATGCCCCATCTGCTGTAGTTCTCTGCACTTTCTCACTTCCCCATGTTTTCAGACATGAGACCCTTATCAAGTCAAGTAATCTGGTTTCCCAGAGTAATCTCCTCCTTACCACTAACGCCATTGCTTGGAAATTACATTTCTCATTGCAGATGGATAATCTGGCATCCTGGTTGATCAACTGGCCTGCTGGGAATTTGGTTTATATAATTCAGTTCCCCTGGGCCTGATCAACATGACATGGACCAGATTGAAGACCAGCCCCCTAGACCATGATGATTCCCTCTCCCCTCTCTCCAACCTTCTCCAACTTCAAGGGTATTTTCTAGAGTCTAAAATTACGATAAGCATTGGCCAATCCTCATGATAGCCCCATTCCTTAACAAGATAAATGAAATTGGCACATCTTTTCTACTCCAGCTATGTGATTATGTAAATCGTTTCTTTTTCTTTTTTTTTTCTTTTTTATTATTATTATTATTATTTGAGTTGGAGTCTCTCTCTGTCGCCCAGACTGGAGTGCAGTGGCCGCTCCCGGCTACTGCAGCCTCAACCTGCTGGGCTCCAGCAATCCTTCCGCCTCAGCCTTCTGAGTAGCCGGAATTACAGGCATGCACTACCATGCCCGGCTGATTTTTTTATTTATTGTAGAGATGAGGTCTCGCCAAGTTGCCTAGGCGGGTCTCAAACCTGCAGACTCAGGCTTATTTTTCATTAAACTATGAGTCCCTCCCTCTTTCCCAGAAATAGTAGTAGGTGCCTTCCCAAGTAAGAGTGAGGAGGGGGATAGAAGAAACCAAGGGTTGTATCAGTTGGGTAATAAGACCCTCTACATTCTAGGGGCTAATACTCAAATGGACATATCTCTGCAAACGACCATGAGCCCCAACCTGCACATATGCTGAGAAATAGCCCCTCACAAATGCTTAGCCCTTGTCCATTTACAAAGCCTCTCACGTGGCATTCCACTTAGTTCTGACATTTCCACAAGGAAAGCAATGAATCCAATTTTCTATTGCTGTGTAACAGATCACTCCAAATCCTAGTGGCTTAAAAGAACAGCCATTTTATTAATGCTCATCATTCTGCAATCTGGGCTAGGCTTAGCTGTGACACTGGGATGGCTGGCTTTCTCTTTCTTTCTACGTGGTGCCCAGGCTTCTCTCTTTCACTTGGCCCCCTTACACCATAGATTAGTTTTACTCGTTCTACAATTTCATACAAGTGAAATCATTCTGTGAGTTTGTAGCTTCTCTTGTGTATAGCTTCTTTCCCTCTCTATAATACTTTTGATGTTTACCAAAGTTGTGTATAATTCACCCCTTTCCATTAGTGACCAGTATTTCACTTTATGAATACACAAAAGTTTATCTGTACTTCTATTGGTGGATATTTGGGTTGTTTCCAGTTTTTAGTTATGAATACAATTTCTGTGAACATTCTCATCCAAGTCCTTTTGTGAACACACATTTTCATTTCTCTTGGATACACCAATAGGAGCGAATTGCTGTATCATAGAATAGATGTATGTTTTACTTTTATAAAAGAAATTGTCAAGCAGTTTACTGAAGTAGGTGAATTATCCTGCATTTCCAGAAACAGTGTGTCTGGTCATTCTGGCACCTCACCAATATTTGGCAGTGTCAAATATTTTTAATTTTAGCCATTCTAGTGGATAGTCACATCTCATTGTACTTTTAATTATTGTTTTCCTGATAATAAATGATGTTATGAACTTTTTCATGTGCTTATTAGTAGTTTGTATTTCTTCCCATTCAAGTCTCTTACCTTTTTTTTTTTTTTGAGTTTGATTCTCACTCCATCACCCAGGCTGGAGTACAGTGACACACTCAACAGCCATCCCAGTAACAACCGGCTGGACTTAGGTGATCCTTCTGCCTCAGCCTTTCAAGTAGCTGGAACTACAGGCACGTGCTACCATACCCAGCTAATTTTTTCTTATTTATTGTAGAGATAAGGTCTCACCATGTTGCCCAGACTGGTCTCGAACCCATGGGCTCAGGCAATCCTCTCGCTTCAGTATGCCAAAGTGCTGGGATTACAGGCTTGGTCCACCCGTGCCCGGCCCCCTTACCCATTTTTAAGTTAAGTTGTTTGTCTTGAATAATGTAATTATAATTAATAGTTATATTATTTAATATCTTGTTAATAAACATATAATTTAATAGTTTACTAATAATTTGAAATGATAATTGAATAATTTAGGAGTGCTTTATAAGTTTTGGATACCGATTTTTTGTCAGATATATGTGCTGTGACTATTTTCTTCCAATCTGCCACTCACCTATTTTCTAAAAATGAGTTTTCTATTTTTTTTTTGAGTTGGAGTCTCACTCTGTCACCCAGACTGGAGTGCAGTGGCCGCTCCTGGCCACTGCAGCCTTGACCGGCTGGGCTCCAGCGATCCTGCCGCCTCAGACTTTCGAGTAGCCGGAATTACAGGCATGCGCTACCACGCCCGGCTGATTTTTTGATTTATTGTAGAGATGAGGTCTCGCCAAGTTGCCCAGGTGGGTCTCGAACCCGTGGGCTCAGGCAATCCACTCACCTCAGCCTCCCAAAGGCGCGGGATTGCAGGCTGAGCCACAAACCGGCTAACAATGAGTTTTCATTAGCAGATGTTTTTGATGTTGATGAAGTTCAATTTATCAACTTGTTTTTCATGATTACTGCTTGCTTTTTTTTTGAGTTGGAGTCTCACTCTGTTGCCCAGAC